AATTTGCCTCGCAAACTTTTATTTTTATACATTTTGTAAAACTATATACTTATATGACTGTTATTCCGTGAGTTTAAAAAATAGGTAAAATTTTATGCAGGATGTAGTAGCTTTAAAGCTCATAATTTATGCTACGAGGTTAAGTGGTTTAAATTAGTTATAACTATCGTTAAGCTTGTCTGTGCACTTGAGCCGGAGCTACATACATATGACCATTTTACCATTTTGACTACTTTAAAATTTTTTACGTAGCAAATAAATAACATCTCTAAACAGACGGAGCATAAAGTATAATAGAAGCAGTGTTTCGAAATACAAAATAATTCACTAAATCAATATTATCCATTTAACTGAACAATAAGAGAATCCTATGTATTTTTGTCACATAACCCATAACCATTGCCGATATGTTGGCGATTGTCGATCAACGCGCGCTTAAAAGTACATTAACGTTCGATTCGCGATTATCTGCTTTTGGCCGCTTGTAGATTACAAGCGCAAATATCCGAGAGCATGCAATTCACCTTTAATAACGGATGTGCCGTCGCTTATCCAGTCAGGCCCGTTTGAGAAGCGTAAAGCGCAGAAATAGAAACGGCCCCGCTAAGATCACCGGCTTAGTGTAATCTGACAAGGAACTAATAATCGAGCTCGGAGATATGAGAGGAAAGACGAGGAAAAATAATAAGGCGACGGTCAGCGAATAATCGGTCAGCGCGCTTTAATCGCACTACGAGGTCGGAGCTTTGCAGCGCCATTAGTGCATCGGTGTATACGTAAGTCCTCGCTGGCGTACGCGTGGGCGACTTGAGTCGCGAAGACAGCGGCACTTTAATGAAATTAAGGTCGCCGATGGGTGTAGGGAGCGCAGTAGCGAGGCATTTTTTTACCTCCTTTAACCGTTTTCGTCCTGGTCATGGACGCGCGCCTACGCTATCCGGACCGATTTCAATGTTCCTAGCCGTTCCGCCTCCCCCTCCGGGGGCGAGCTAACGGGATGGGTCGCGTGCGTTTCCTGTTTCCGCGGCTATAGATTCGCCGGGTTGTCTCTCTACGAATACGTAGCCAGTGGAAAGAATATAAATGAACGGAACTTTACATTATGGAACTGAAAATCTTTATTATTCTTGTCCGTATAATTGCGATAGTGAGAAATGTGTCGCTGCTTTAAAAGCATTTTTTAAAGGATTGAGCTCGGCTGTAATCCAAATGCATATGATTATTTTAGAAATTGCTTTAATGAATTTTGCTCGTTAATTTCTAGTGGTACTTATTGTTCACAAGGCGCTTGTTTGGGCCTCGTTCGTATGGCTTAATTTTCATTGTAAATAATTAGTGATTTTTAAATCGTGGCATTATGCATAATGGCTTATCTGGCTTGATTTTCGGTCTATTTATTTCTCACAGGCCTATTTGCATTTTCTCCGTTTCGATAAAAATGATACGAACAATATTTACCTTTAATCAGTTGGTTCTACTATCAGGTATTGTTATTCAAGTTGCTTGTCCAGGCTCAAGTCGTATTCGTGCCAAACTCCAAACCGAATAAATTAATAAATACTTAAATAGAAAAAGCAATAAATGCAACATTCGTTGGTTATTTTGTGCCTTTGGGCTGCAAAATAAATAAAGCACGCGGGCTTTTCTAAGTAAAAATTTTGTATAATTTCTTGCAATTATATGTTTGGCATGCAAGAATATTAGATGGCTAGAAATGTAATTAGGTTTTTAATATTAATGAACATTTCTTGATATATTGATATATATATATATATATATATATATATATATATATATATATATATATATATATACATATACATATACATATATTTAAAAGCAAATCAATTTAAAAGATCGATTGTACACAAATGTTTTTAAAACAAGAGTAAAGTAACCAATTACGATTTTTCTCTGCGATAAAGCTAATAGTTTTTCGAGGTATATCAGACTTACATAGAGAAAGTAAAAGCTTAACGAATATACGGCCAAACTCCATCTAATAATTCCAATTTTAGCGCGAACAAAATCCTTTCTAGAGGATCTGTCGGAGTACCGATACAAGCACCTCGAAACTTTGTACTTACGAGTGCAAATGTTTTATGCTACTATCGCCTCGTGACTACTAAACTCGTTGCATCTAAAAACTTTTGTCATCGGATGGAGGGTAAAAAAAAGTGCGGAGTATGTATCTTGTCTGTACTTATTTTTCCCGGTCCCGCGTCGCGCAAGTGAAAATCGATACGCACGGAGCCCGAAAATGTTTGCTTCATCGAAACGCTTCAATCTCTTTTTTATATATTCTTCCCCCCCTCCCCCCTCCCCATCCCCCTCCCACGCATTTTGCAAATTGTGTATGCCATAGGAATGTGATAGATGTGTCGCTAATGAGATTCAAATTACCGGTTTCCCGAATAATTTATTATAACGTGGAGGATATTTAAACGATACTTTTTGCCGCTATGTGGATTGGTTTTTGTTTCCTGTGCTTTTGTTCGCAAAAATTATCGCGTACGGATCGTCAAAATTTAATTATATTACAATGCAAATCACTTTATTGATTGTAAGAAATATTAAATACTCCTTTGACCTTTATCACTATTATTTACCTCCATAATTTCAATAGCATATTATTTGTTAATATTTAATTGTTGCGTATATCCCATCGATATTTAATGTTTAATTTAATAATAATCATAATTTCAGAAATACGAGATTGTATTGTATGGTGAATGAACGCAGGAATCGTTAAATATATTGAAATTTTCTTTTCATTTGTCGCTTTATCGATAGCGCAATTTATGTTAAGAAGAGACTATAATAAGAAGAAATTATAAATGGAAACCGAAGTAAGACAAACTAACTATATATGAATAATTTTATATACTCTTTTATTAAAATAATTTCATTTAATCGTGAAGCTCTCTATATTCATTAACATTTCATCGATTGACTTATTTTCGATGAAACTATTATTTTAATCCTCAGAGTGATAATATCAATTAAATATGAAGTTTCTATCTATAAACATCACGCATTTAATTTTATGATAATTACTTTTTAACACTTGAATAATAAATAAGTTAAAATATTGACGATATAGGGGATGACGAGCGTATACATATAGGAAGTAATTCTAAATGTATATAGCACATTAAGTACTCATATAGTTAAATAATGTGTATTTATTGCTGTTTCAATATAAATATTTTATTTTTAAGTTTGGTAGGATACTCACGTCTTAAAAGTAGAGCCTGCATGCCGAAATCATGTCTCGGTACTGTGCAACTTTGCCTTTACTTCAAAGGATACATATGATTTAGGTATGGAATAGTTTGCTGGGACGACGAAGCCAAGTCACACACTCCTATCAACATAACGTCTGCCATTCACAAACGCTCAATCGCACGTACACATGGCCGTATACTCTACAAGCATAGTGCACACGGGACAGGCGCACCCACGCCCGCACGCACGATTTTTTATATAAGCGAGTCATAGGAAAGCCTTTAAATAAAGACAAGCGCAGTGAGGTGCATTATTGACGTGTAGGTACTTGTAAAGCAGGAAGTTGGACCAATTTTAGCTCGTGAATTGAATTTTTTAAGTGCAAATACTTGTCACACTTAGAAGGCGTTCATAAAAACAGTTTATATAGAGATGATCTACTTTTATAATATGTAATATGTCGTGGGAAAAATTTTAAATTTTGATAAAGTGAGCTGTATTATTATAATAATGAAAAATTTTTATTTCCTTTCTTTCGAAACAATAATGATAATACTTTGTAGCTATACTTTGCTCCAAGCACACTAAAATATGTGAATTTCGTTAAAATATTCCATAAACGCTGCTTATTATCAATATCAAAAGTTTTCTTCGGCACTCATAAATTCGTATACAAACTTTGCGTGCTTTAAAATGATAAAAAGAACACATATTTAACGTCTTAAACTTCCAGCTAGTGATGAAATTTTATATTTATCACATTTCGCAGGTAAACGGGATTGACCTACGTGAAAAATATCAAAGCAAATAATGCCTGTAAATATAATTTTTAAAACGACATTGTACGCGTAGTTTTTTTATTCTACATTAATTTACACCTTCCAATATATATTTGCTAAGGAATATCGAGGAGAGCATACGTAAAGATAAATAAACGCTACCAATGGAGTTTTTTTTTTTTTTTTTTTTTTTCGGCAAATCTTTCAGTGAGAATAATTGTTGTAAAATGTAGGGATAGCAAATCCGCGAGAAAATCGATTATTCGAAAAAAATTTAATTTCTTGCTCAATCGTAGTAATTTAGCATAAGAATTATATTGTTGTAATAAGTAATAAGAATTATACTATAATTATATTATATATAAGTGAATTTCATTCTAAATGCATTTATGTGTGAAACTAGGAAAATGAGTAGTTTAATTATTCTAATTGTAACTCTCGATTTTAATGATCATTATGAATTCTTTCCGCTATTCGATTATTTAATAAATGCATTATAAGATAAAAATTATCATTGCCGAATCGATATATATATATATATATATATATATATAAATAAATATAATTTATAAATATAAATAAATAAATATAATATAATATAAAGACGAATATATAGTAAACTATTGTACATATACATTTACGCGCAAGCACTTATTCGCGTATATGTGTTGATTTTCTATGACTGGACCTGACGTATTTACCCTTTACATGAGCTTTTCCTACGCAATCCATAAATCCAGTCTTTAACATGATGTATATCTATATCTATCTATCTATATCGATCTGGATCTATATATATATATATATATATATATATCTTTAACATCCAAGCTCCAACGTACTACATGCACGTAAAACTAACGCGTCCATCTTCCACTCCAACCACCTTAACGCTTATCATATTAAGGTTTCCGATTTCAAAAGCGAGCCGCTTTTCAATCCCAATAAGCCCGATTCAACGAGAACTGTAAAAAGGATGCAAAAGAGAATTACCCGGCGTGACGAGAAGTATGAGGCCGAGGATTAACGTTCTCGTCGCCATTTCCACAGCACGCCAAAAGTCCCTGCAGCCCCAAGTCCACCGCAGTCGGTGTCGCCTCCACTCGACGTGTCGCCTGGTCTCCTCCCGTTCACCCGGAGGGTCGGCCACCTCGCGGCCGAGTCTCAGCCCCATCTCCAGCTCCTCCTCGTGGCGTCTTGGAACATTATCCATGTCGGCGGGCTCCGGGACTTCCCGCAGCAACCAGCCGACGCACGTGGGCTGGCCGGATGCGAGACATGGCAATCTTGATGCTGCCTCTCCTCGGTCGGCCCTGTCGATAATTACAATATTTATTCATCTCTTGGCTCGTTCATCTAGAATTTTACGCAAATGAGCTTTTCCTGAGTTCGACTTGTTAGTGCAAAGCCTTTGTCTCGATTAACTCGCCCGTAAAAAATCATTGACAAATGACTTGTTCTGTAAACTGCAATCTTTCAGGTAATAAGTAGAACGATAATTTCAATGGGCAATAAAGTTTTTAAGATCTGGCTAATAAAGATTCTCGAATTAGATGATTATTGCATTAGACAATAGTCGAAGATCGATATAATGTTGAAATTTCATTGTTAAAATATAAAAGAATTAATATGCATTGAGAAATCAATCTGTAATTTTCAGTTTTTTTTTCTGATTAAGTGATTAATTGATTTTTCATCATATTTGTTATTATTATTATTATTATTATTATTATTATTACTATTATTATTATAGATTATATTATTATTACCGGCGGGATTTTAAAATTAGAAGAAATGAAATTATTGTTAAATGATAAGGTACAATAAAACGACGTGATTTTATTTATTATTAAACTGATTAATGTTAAGGCATGACGAAATTTATTCATTTTGTACACTACGCCTATAATAAAGAATATTTATAATAAAAACAATGTACTTTTTTAAATTCCCCATTATTGCAATTAATTACTCATAAAGCTCATAAAATCGTATTTTATTTGTACAATAGATCTTGAATTTATCATTTATAACAATTCTATTTTCTCAATTATTTTAAGCGATAATTATATTTATGAATGTTGAACGGATTTGCCAAGTGCAATTCATTATACTATCAATTTATAATGGATAATTGAAAAATAAAAATTAATAAAATCATGTCTGTATTGGCAATGGATTAAAAAATATTTACTAATTGGTTAAATTGATAGAAATTTATATTTGTCAGATTTTATCGATGAAATTAGTGACAATTGCAGTGATAAAGTACCGATATAATTCTTACACACTCTTTTAATTAGAAAATTGCCTATAATTATATTATAAATGATATAATAAAAAATAAAAATAACGTAAGAAAGCATTATAATATTCAATCTTTTCGCGTCTGTGACTTCTCAGATGAGATACAAAGATCGTTTTTTTTTTTGAGTAATTTACGGACAATTAATCTGACAACTACTGAATTATGTAATCACATCTCAATTATATAAAACATATAGATGTGTTTATTTATTAATTATATACTTTTATTATATATATTGATAATTTATTATTCTTTTTTAATTCAATATGTCAATATATAAAGATAAAATTTGAAGATAAAAATATTTTCATGTCCATTGATTGTTAACATTAATTGTCATATAAAACGTGAATGAAAATACGCTGTGAAACGTTAATTTAACAGGTTACAATTGTTTCTTATTTTATTTTATTTCACATCGACAAAGATATTTATACTTATTAATGGGCATAATATTGTTTTTACTTCCTTTAATAATATAATGAAGATATTTGACATAAATTATGTAAGGATTTGGAGGTTTAATTTAATTTCGTTTGATTACAGCAGTGAGTAAAGAACCAGTTGAGATAGCTTAATATAAATTTCGTTTCTCTTTATATAAAGTATGAAGAAATGTAAAGCCATATATATATGTATATATGTATATATGTATATATGTATGGTGATGAAGGATCGTGCGAAAAGAGAGAACAAGCGATAAGAGAAAAATAGGAGTCGCCCAATTGAGGAATCGAAGTCCAAGTACCTGTCCTCGTCGAAACGTCGCTCGACGCTTCGCTCGTCCTCGTAGCCATCCTGGCCTAACGTATATATACTTCGTCGAGATCTCGAACGTGGGGACGCGTGCCGCCGCCGGAGGTGGTTCGTGGCTTGTAGCCCTCCTCCACCCTCCATGCCCCCGCTCCCATAGTACCTGCAATTAAAAGTTTTCGTATTATTGAAAATTGTATCCTTTCTTTTAATCCTTGAGCAAATACACGTGTATTGAAGGAGTGGCGGAGAGGGGGGGGGGAATCAGACCGCGGAATAATTTTGCGGAATTGCATCCGAGTTGCAGTTCGACTGTATAGGACGACGCGACCGATGGGGTCACATTGCAGCTCCGGGATTTTTCTTAATTGCATCCCACTGCATCTCCGACTTCTCTCTCTTTCTCTCTCTCTCTCTCTCTCTCTCTCTCTCTCTCTCTCTCTCTCTCTCTCTCTCTCTCTCTCTCTCTCTAAGGGATTGTCCACTAATTTATCCTCGTTTTCTGTTCCGTCTACTGGCGACGAAGGGGGGATTTTATGCTCGAATCGACCACGAAATTTGACATATTTGATTCGAATGCTTTATTGCTTTTCTAAGACGTAAATGTCCGTTTAAATACTTCCAAGTCAAAGTAAATCTCCGGCGTGTTCTAATTGTTTCTCAGAGGCTCGAGCTCAAATGCGAAATTCTTTTGAGGTCCTTAGGTGTTGGATTGATTGTAAGCTTACATCGATCATTATGGCATTTTGGTTTTACGAATCGTAATAAAATGAGGAAAATTGACAAGTTGAATTGTTATTGAAAACGCGTCCTCCGTAAAACGTTCATCACCAAGCCGAATTTCGTCTTCCTTAAAGTCCCAATGACGCGATAAAGACAATTCTAAAAGAAGTTTAAAATAAATAGGCCACTTTTTTTAAGTATTATCACGGAGTTATTGGTTGGCAATAAAAATGAAAAGCGTATTACCGTGAGCAGGGAAAAGTAATTTTCTTTCATCCTCTGTTCCTTGACTCGGGCGAAATCACGTTGATTGCCTTGTCGAACGACGGTGAATTCGAGATTACGGATGAAGCTTGAGTAAGAAACGAATCACTCGGTGTAAGTGACGAGAATGGGAGAATCCAAGTATGCTGCTTTAATCGACGATTCGTATCACGAGTCTATTATTCCGCGACCGATGGGCTTCGTTGATAGTAATTCCGATTAAAGCGCGGTGAGCAGAATTACCGGCCAGTTGTGTATTTTTATGCAATATGCCGACGTTGTGGCTTAAGCGAAAATGAAAATCGAGCTGACTTTATAGTAGCTTCGAAAATAAAAGAATTTTTTAACTTTATTAGCTTACCGCCACTGCCCTCCTTGCATAATTATATATTTTATAGTTTTTCGATAACGACGTTCACCCTTTTAAAACTCGGTTTCAAGCTTGACGATGAACATTTTTTCACCCTCATATATATATATATATATATATATATATATATATATATACGTGTGCGTGCGTGTGGAAGGCAGTTATTAAAAGTACCTCATTATAAAAGATTATTTTTTTATCCTGAGTCACTCAAGCTGTCGTATTTTAAGATCAATTATCTTATTAATAAAAAGCTCCTATGTACACAGTAGCCGTTGAAATTTACATTGAAGTATCCTTGGTTCGATTCACATATTGTCCATGTATATCTCTATAAATTGAACAACTCGGACTTGTAAAAAAAAAAAAAAAAAAAAAAAAAAAAAAATTAAAAATAAAAAAAAATACAAGACCTCTGAAATTCACGGTTGCTAATTTCGAAAGCTTTCGACGCTATAAATTTAACTGCGAACCGCCGTCGGAGAACTTACGCTTTCTTTATTGCTTTAGCTCGACAAATAAACTCATTAGCGCTACATCAAACAAGCACGTAAAGGCAAGTACTTATTTTAACGAGCAATGGATCGTTCCACATAACGTTTTCCCCATCGAAATAAGAAAATTTTTTATCTCAATGCTCAAGCCACGTTGATCGAACAACTTCCACTGTTTTACACTTTATACGGGACTTTATTTTTTTTTGTTCATTTCGCGAGCTATAAGAATAAGAAAAAGAAAGAGAGACAGAGAGAGAGAGAGAGAGAGAGAGAGAGAGAGAGAGAGAGAGAAATGATGTAGCAATTCTGCCCGGGTGTGACAAGATAAAAAATGAGAATATATACAGATTGATGTTAGGGGGCGAGAGAGGTGGTGGACGCTGAAGGTTCGTGGCATAAGGAGCAGGTGAGGGGTGAGGATGTGGAAGCCGGCTAGGATGATGCAAAAGGAAAAGAAGCGTAAAGTGACGGGCGAGTGGAGTGGAGAGGAGGAAAAGGGCAGCCAAATTGAAAGGGCGAGAGGGAGCGAGGGGAACTTACCTCTGCCGCTGCGCCACTACTACCGCTGGCTGGCTTGTCGGCCTGCGGCGACGATTTTCGCGCGCGTCGCCACTTCCGTCGTCGCTTGGGAGAGAGACGCCGCCGCCAACGACGACCTAACCTCCGCAGCGTGCCGGAAGCATCACCTACAACAGCAGAGCGGATATTACGTTTTTAACGATCCGGTACTCTCCTCTCTTCTCCGCCCACCCAGCCACTGTCTCACTAGCGTTCATCCTTCTCCTCCTCCCCGTTATAACCCCCTTCTCACCCATCGTCATCGTCCTCCCTCGCTTCTCACCGCTCACCGCCACCACGCGCACCGCCCCCTCGCGATCCCTCAAGCTACGTTCACAACGCTTCCGTTCTTATTATTTCGAATTATTTGGTAGATAAGGCTCTTTGCGCTTGATATCCGCGCCATCTCGTATATTACAAGGATCCTTGAAAATTCTTCTTCCTCGTGGGTTTGGGTATTATTACAAGTAGCCATCATCTTGAGCGCCTTGTCGAAATGGTTGGGCTGGGCCTTTCCGATCACTTTCCTTGGCTTTCGCATATTCGAGGAGAGTTGTCGCACGCCCAAGCCGACTAATTAGAATGATCCCAGGAATTCGGGGATTTCGTATGCGCGTTGCAGTTCGACCGAGGTATGATACTTTTGGAGAAACCAGCCGACATTAAATGCCGAAAATCTTTGTTGAGCCAGGCGATTAATGATCGGCCGAGTCTTTTATAGCTTACGCGTGACTCTTAAAGAGAATAAAGAGTTTGTGTGGGAGGGTCGGGTGGATGGGTGTAATAACGTACGTAATATGTCCTTATTGCGCCCATTGGCCATTGTGATGTGGGCTTAATCTTCTATCTCGGTGGACACTCT